AATTGGAAAGTGCCTTGAGATGACATGTGTTGTGATAGGAATAAACTGAATTGAATCCTATAGCAAATACATAACTAAACTACATTTCTCCACACTTTCACACTCTGTCTTCCCAAACTATATCAAATTAAACTCCATAAATCACAATCTAAACGTAGCAGCCGCTGGGTGAGCCATAGGAAGCTAGTAATTCCCACCCTGCCAGCATCACCTGAACGCCTCATCCTGTTTGGGCCCGTTCCAGTAATAAATATTGTCCTCCTTCGCTGCTTCCTGACTAATTAAACTAAACAATCCGATATCTCACCGCCAGCGAAGCTGGAATAACCTGGTGTTGTTTTTAGTCGGACATCCACGCAGCCCGTGGCCTCACACTCACAGACAGACTGTCTATTCTGAACACCGGGTTACTTTTTGGCTTAGCGACCAGTTGGATAATATTTTAAATCCGGGCTGATTTCTCCGCTTGTCTTACCTGAATGTTGCTCTCCGTCCGGAGGAACAGGGAAGCTTCCACTCCCTCTGCTCCATCTCTTCAGCATCAGCATCACAAGCTTCCTCGGCCTCTCTGGATTCCAAGCTGTAGATCTACCGCGCCCCCTGGTGGCTGATCTCAGACACTGATATATATATATATATATATATATATATATATATATATATATATATATATATATATATTTCTTTTTTTTTAATGAAGAGAACTTTGGGAGAAAAAAAAACAGACTATATTCAGTTGTTTCTTCAAACAGTTTTGACATCACTGGTCGAGGAGAAGCATTAAAAATAGTTGGAGCCCATGTCCTGCCTACATCTTCCCGAATATAGTCCTCACCATTGCCTTGCGCAATTTTCCCTGCTAACTAAGTTTCCACGAATCTCATTTATTACAGCTCTTGAAATCCAGCATTTTTTCCCCAGTAGTTACATGTTCTGGCTTAGACAGCTATGGAGCTATAGCAGTCTTCAATTCAATTCAGTTTATTTCTATAGCGCCAATTCACAACATGTCATCTCAAGGCACTTTGCAGTTCACCAGATCATCCAGTCAGATTGATTCAAAGTTTTCTATCTAAGGAAAACCAGTTGATTGCATCGACCCATTGACTCAAATACAATCCCTCATACTAAGCATGCTTGTAGTGACAGTGGAGAGGAAAAACTCCCTTTTAACAGGAAGAAACCTCCAGCAGAACCAGGCAGTCTTCCACTTCGTAACAGATCATATAATAGCAATTCCACGTTAAAAACCTTTTATCGGTCTTAATTAAACTGAATTTTGTCATACAACCCATAATCATCAAAATAATGACAGTTTGCAAACAATATAGGTTGAGGGTTTGAAGCTACAGTCATTTAGATAGGGGGTCTTCAACGTTTTCCAGGCCAAGGACCCCCAAACTGATGGCGAGATGAAGCGGGGAGCCCCTAATTATATATTGTATGAAATTGTGTTCTATCAAACTGGTCCTACAGTCACTCTATTACAGATGGAGTCATGTAACGAAAGTCATTTCTCCCTGGGATTATTAAAGTATTTCTGATTCTGATTCCTGGTTGATGGGACAGGAGTTGTGAATGAAACGGTGTCCAGCTTGAAAGAGCTCCTTTGTGTCGCTGAATGTGAGCATTGATGACTGAAAGACATCTTCTGCCTCCATTTATCTGTTTACTACAGTCTGTTGGATTCATGTTAACGTGGATTTAAAGACACTTCAATTAGTGGAAAAAATTGGAGGGGGAATAAAAAAAAAAAAAAAGTCTAATCAACCAAAATTTTCGCGACCTCCATGCAGTATCGCTGAGGACCACCTAGGGGTCGCGGACCCCTTTTGAAGACCTCCGACTTAGATGAACCTGCTGGGATAGAGAATAAAAACAACATGCTATTTTTTTTTTCAGAGCCATTAAAATCTGCTAATTGCTTCTCAAATTTTTTTTGTTTTTTATTTAAATAGTCAACACTTAAGACATCTGTGTAAATATTCTTTTATCTGAAAATACAAATTTGTTTTCGCGTCTACAATTTTCTCCTGGAAGCAAGTATAAAAATAAAATAATGACACGATCGCACAGATGACACATTGCACCGGCTCAAGCCGCACATTTCAACATGCAAACGTACGTCTAATGATACAGTTTCCCTTTCATACATGGTTGAATAGATAACTAGACAGTTTCATCTATGCTGCGCCAAAAGTTGGGTTTGCAAAGTTTCCAGTCGGCTCTTCAGGAATGTCATTCTCGGCAAAATCTTCCGGGTCGAGATCAGCCTCGAACATCCGCTGCAACAAAGCGTCCACCGTCCTGTACCCTGTAAAAAAAAAAAAAAAACACAAAACCATCCACGGTTTAACACAAGAGAGACGTATAGAGAAATAAAAGAACTATCTATTCTGTGATTTTTCAGTTGTAAAAGTGAAAATAATAAAAACTGCTTGACATGTTCCAGGTCCTTACTTTACTTTAACCATTCATACAAGGACTTACTTTTTGAGGCCACCTTAAATAGAAGCGTAGGCAGGTTTGCTGTGGGTGACTGCCCATTCCCCAAGTCGTTATCCATGGTTTCCATGGCGTTAACCAAATTATCCTCCAGCTTCTCCCTGGTAAATACAGTGAGAGCACGTGACAGAAAAAAAAAAAAAAGTCTTAGGAAGGATAGAAAGTAGCTGAAATGGATTCATCTGTGATTTGAGTCCTGGAAGCTTCTCTATCTCTGTGGCGAATGTACTTCCATCAGACCTTTCTCCAGGGATAACCTCGTCTCAGTCTCACTGGTATTTTTCTTGTTTGTGCATCAAGTTGACCCAAAGACCAGTTCTTTTTTTTGGTAAATATAAAAAAAAGAATTAAAAAAAAGTGACGAGAATAGTCATAAAATTCAGAGAATAATGTCGTAAAATTAGCTTTCTTTCTGAAATGGGTTCTCGTAATGTTACTGCTTTATTCTCG